ATGGATAAGCAGCCTAGAGCTCCGGTGAGTCGTCACTCTCTTATGAATATCAGCTTAGTAGTAGCTGATTTGATATCACCTAATCAGAAGTGGAGAAAGGAACGGCTTGATGATCTCTTTATACCAGCAGATGTACATAGGATCCTTAGAATTCCAGTTGGTAATGTTGAGGATCAATATGTCTGGGCTTACAATGACAATGGATCTTACTCGGTGAAGAGTGGTTACTGGTTTGTAGCTAATAACCCGGTTATTCCCCTGCCACCAAATCCTCAGATTGGACAAGCACGAATAGTTTTGAAGCAAAGGATTTGGCGGTTAGAAACATCACCCAAGATTCGAATGTTTTTATGGCGTGTGGTCTCGGGTGCGTTGGCAGTGGCTGACCTACTGCAATCTCGTGGGTTACATGTTCAACAGGTTTGTAAGCTGTGTAATTCAAACCTGGAAACAATCTGGCATGTCTTATTCTGTTGTCACATAGCTAATTCGATGTTGGATATTGCTCACATTCCGGCTCCAAGTACTGGCTTTAGTGATTCCTTAGAGGAAAATCTTGGTTATGTGCTTGATTTGCTGGGACAACAAAAGGTTAGAGAAGAGAGCCGAAATGCAATTCCTTGGTTATTATGGAGCACTTGGAAGAATAGAAATGCGATCTTGTATTCCAGGGTTCAAGAAGCTCTTGAAACAATTGTTGCTCGAGCTTTGGAAGAAGCCACACATTGGAGATTACTCAACAAAGGGATGAGCAATATGGTTGTTAACTCCATGGAGAGACTCTCTGTTAGAGACAGATGGCAACGACCCTTACTAGGAACAGTTAAGTGCAATATCAATTCACATTGGCGAAATGACAGGTTACATTGTGGAGCGGCTTGGATTGCAAGAGATCATTCCGGTGCGGTTTTATTACACGCACGGGATGCATTTACTGAGATTCCTAATCGAATCACGGCTGAGTTACGATGTCTCTTATGGGCTATGAGAAGTTTACTAGACCTGCGTTTTTCTGATGTTATGTTTGCGATGGATTGTCAAGCGGCGGTTCAAGCACTATCCAAGCCTCATGAGTGGCCGAGGTATCGAGTGCTTCTGAATCACATTGATAAGCTGAGATTGGAATTTACTAGTTGCTCCTTTGACTCTGAGGCTCCAGGAGCTAATACGCTAGCTAGAGAGATTGCCACGAGTGTCACCAAAGACGGTAGATTTCATTCATATCTTGCTTTAGGAGGTCCTTCATGGCTTCACGATCGTATCGCTCGAGAATAGAGTTTTCAAC